CCAGCAGCTCCAGCAGGATGGGCCCCGCCCAGGCTGCAGCGAGCGGGACCAGCAGCTGTGCAGCCCTCCGGGGAAGGGAGGAAAGAGCAAAGGCTAGACTGGGATCCCTGGATTTATCCCTGCCCCTAACTGGCCCAACCCTGCAGGCCTAATCATCCCCCGGGTTGGACGGAGATCCTGTTTTGCCGTGATGCTTTAGCGTTGACCTCATGTGCCGTGCCGAGGATGGGGCTGCGGAAACAAGTGACGTGGTTTTTAAACCGATCGAGAAATAACATGACTTCATCTTATCTCTGAGTCACAGACGCTGCGGACGTGCAACTGGTACGTGCTGGTGGCTCCGTCGGCAGGGAGGGGTGTCACGCACCACCGGCCGGGCAGGGAGATCTCATGTTGCTGGGGGAATCCAAGAAAGGATGTTTGGCCTTCCCAGTTTGTTGCTGGGAGGGGTGGGAGAGGAGTTTAGCAAGCAAAGACCCTCACCCCAAAACCAGTTGTAATTTCTGTGTCTGAAGTTGCACCAACATGAAAAAGAAAGTGAATAACCACAGGGTGCTCCCTGCAAGAGCTCCCCAGCCAGCTGGTTCCACCAGAAGGGATGGTCACCATTAACTCCCAGCAAACAGGTGGCAGTGTCTGGGAGTAATGGGGCAGACTGGGAGCAGATGTGGGTCCCTGTTACTCCACCAAATGATGCAATCGAGGTGTTTGAATCGGGGTGTTTGCAACATATCGACGTAAGATTCTGACGTGAGGTGCCTGCAAGACTTGAGTCGCAGCTTCTTTGAAGTACGTGTGGAGCAAAGACTGTCCCTTTCCCCAGAGGTGCGGAGTGAAATCCCGAGAGGATCATGGCCCTGCCACTGCACACACACACACACACAAAATGCAGCAATGGGAAATGGTTTAGTAACTTGGTGCTGTCTCACAGAAAGTGAATCAAGGACCAGCAGCACCAGAAGGCTGAGAAAAGCTTGTGAAGTGGCAGCTGTGACAAGGCAGCAGGTGACACTGCTCCCTCGGCCTCCCAGGGGAGCGGGCTGACGGCCCACGCTGATCCCTCGTTAAAATACCCGTGTCCCGACCAGTTAGTGCAAGCTCAGCATTATCAACTCAACAAAAACACACGGCGCACCTCCAGGAAAACAGCCGCCTCTCTGCCCCGCTGTTCACCGACCTTTGGGTTTAGGCCTTGACACCAGAATCCAAACAGAAAATTAGGGAATATTCCAGCCTGCACACAGCCCTGACAGTGCCTCTCGCTTTGTGTCTGCTCTCTTGCCCTTTCTCTGAGCTTCCCCCCGTCCCACCAGCTTCCTCCCGTCCCAGCGCCTGCCCAGAGGCACCCAGTGGGTCTTGCAGTCCTGACAGATGTGTCACCCATCAGAGCTCATCTCCCAGTGTTTATTCTCGTTGTCCCAACACCTTCTTGCATCCTTGTTCAACTCATGAAATAAAAGTTCTGGGTAACAACACACAGACCAAGAGCGGGGCATGGGGACAGCTAACAGGTAACACAGCACGCAGAGAGTTCTGGGTGGTCACAGAAGAAGAGGGAACATCACGGTGCGAAGAGCACCTTCTTTCGGGGCCGGTAGCCTTTCAGGGTCCCCAGGGGGACACAGCTCACTTGGCAGCTTCCCTTTTGGATTTCTGCTGGGCCGCTGGACTTGGGCGTGAAGTTGTCTTTATGCTCGGTCCTGAAGAGGTCCTGCGCCCTCCAGGGTAGCTCCAGGTGCGAGCATTTGATCTGAGGAGAGAGAAAAGCTTTCAGCACGTGGGGATGGGGAAGAGGCAGGTGGTAATGTGGAACCTATCCTTCCTCTCCCTTCAGAGATTTCTCCCAGCTACGACTCTGCTCCCTGCAGAGCATTGCCTTGAGGCAGAGAGGGTTTGACGCGTGCCTGTCCCATCCCAAGTGGCTCAAGAGCACACACCCAATCTGGTCATGTTCACGGGGAGGCTACAGCTTCGCTTGGTATCATCCAGCTTCCCCAAGCCGCCCCATGGTAAATCCAGGCCTATTCAAGCTGTACCTGCTGGAGCACGTCTTCGGAGAGCCGCTGTTTCTGCTGTCTGTGTGGGACCAGCATGGCCTGTGTGGTCGTGACAGAACTTCCATCTGCTGACAGATGGAGTTGAAATAAAAAGTCAATTCAAGCCAGTCAGTTGGGAGGCAGTATCAGGAAAGCTCTGCAGTTTGACTCACAGATCTGTGTGCATTTCCATCAACGAGAGGAAACGACAGGCTTTGCTGTCAGCACTCTGCTGAAAACCTTTGCCCGGAGAGAAAACAGTTCTCAAGGTGAGGAGGTAAATGAAGAAATTCCCATGGCAGTTACAGGAATATCACTCCATATGCTAGTTATGGAGCTGCTCCAGAAGTCTGGGGCCAAGGAAAAGATCAATTCAACTGTGATCTGTTCCACATTCAGTAAAAGAGATGGCTCAAAACCAGATCCATGGCATGAAGGGACCTCTCCCTCAGCTGCAGAGTACTGGCCATCACAAACAGGAGGCAGCCTCAGAGGAGGAGTGTGTTCATGCCTTCCACGACCCGCTCTAACCACATCCTGAGGTTGTGTAAGCTCAGCTTTTGCTCTAAATCCTCTCCTTCCTCCCAAACACAAGTGCAAAGCAACTTCTAAAAACAAATGTAGCAAGGGAGAAAGATCAAGCCACTGGCTATGTCCCAGAAACCATTTATGTCGCCTGAACATGCTAAATATTGCTGTACGATGGCAGCGAACGCCTGTGGCTGGCACAGGGCCTCCCCGTCCCCTGCACAGAGCCAGGAGAACCTCATCGGGCACCACAAGAGTCTGAGCAACGCGGCCTTACTATGGTAGTTGAAGGGGATGTGGCTCTTGCGGTGGCTCTTGCCGTCTGCCATCACCCTCTGGCTCTGGTGGGGTGGCTGGTAGTCTGACTGCTGCGTTGTGCTGAAGAATCGGGAGCCTGAACGCTCACCTCCCAAGCAGACGGTGCTTTGATGTTTCTGAAGCAGCACGTCAGGCTTTGGTGTGAGGTTCCACCCGGCAGTCTGGAGAACACAAGAGCTGCTTTAACAGAAACAGGCTGTCGCGGAGAAAGGCAGCGTATTGCACGTTACACCCTGCACAGCCCAGAGCGGGGAGAAGGGACAACGTCAGCTTTACGTGCCAGGGGAACGTAAATAAGAGGGTGTCCACCAGAGACACACCTGCACAGCACGGCTGGGAACAGACCTCTGGGTAGGAGAGCCGTGTAGTAGTAGTTCCTGCCAACGCTTGATTTCTCTCTGGGTCTTCATCGCCTCTTGGGATGGATGAGGCGTATTTGTTTGGATGGGTGGTAGCAACAGGCTCTGGCAAAAGCAAGAGTGAACGATGTCAGAGCACTGCAGTCTCTGAACAGTTTATAGCTACAGCAGCTTCTCCTCGTGCAGCGGAGCACAGGAATGAAGACAGCAGTTTAACCTGCCAGGGAAGTGGAGTGAGGATGAAACAGAGCCTCACAGTAACGAGACTGATGCTGAGTACATAAAAACTATAAAACATTAAAAATATAAAATGATATACATAGCATATGAATGTCTTATATCTTTATCATAAACACTAAAACCAAGTGATAAAACCTACTGTTCATCTGGTCATAAACCTCAGTAGTGGTCTGCACATGTTGCCTCTGTGTCCCAGACGTCCCCTACCTGGGCTGTGCGCTGGGAAGTGCTCTGACATCAAGGTGGAGAATCTGGTGCGACCGTCCCCTAGCTGCAGGTTCGTGCGGTGGATCTGGGAGGCGGCATATTCTTTGTCATAGACTCTGCAAGATATCAGAGACGAGCTGCTTACACAGCAACATTCATCAGAAACACCCCCAGGTCCTGGGGATGCCCCTCAGGTTCTCCAGCCGATACCTGTGTGTCGTCTGCTCTGGGGCACTGAAGGCACGTTTCTGCTCGCTCACAGATTCACTGCTTCCGGGATCCCCAAATTTAACAGCAGACTTCTGCTGAAGGGAAGCCAACAGAGCTACAGAACAGCCACTTACAGCACAACCCCTTTGTTTCCCTTCTCTCTTCCCATCCACCTGGTTCTCACTTGCACAGATCACACTCCTTTCAGGACAGAACTCAGCATGGGAACGTGCTGCCCTTTCACTGTGTCCTGGTCCTCCCCAGAACTGTGCTGTTACCTGCACACTTGGCTTTGGAGGTGGACTCCATTCACCCTGAAACTGCGCTTGGTAAGAAGTGTCGTAGTAGGGCTGTCCATCCCCTCTGATAGTGCGAACACCTCCTGCCAAAGAGCCAGAGGAGGAAATGAATGATGTTGTTTCTAAAAATGCTCTATTTGCTGTTGTAAGGAAATATTAACGATATTGAAGCTGCCATCTTGAGGCAGCTGCACTTTTAGCATCCTGCATCTATTTTGTGCAATGGAACAGCAAAGCAGTTGACACCAGATTGCAGCAAGGCGAGCTGCAGCACTGCCAAACGTGGATGCGGTGCTTCAGAAGTGTCTGGTGTGAAAACTGCAGCATCTGAGGATACAACATGTGGATAAGACAGCTGGCAAGGCTGGGCAGCAAAAGCCTGGCTGGGCAGTGGCTCGAGTTGGGCTATTAACCTGTTTTATGACCATCGGATGGATTTACTCAGCTAGAAAAAGAGAAAGCAAAATATCCAAACAGTTCTAACAGCTCTGATTGCTCTCAGCATGACTCTGAGCCACACCAAAGAACCCCCCCAGTGCCCAGGCAGATGGCGCAGCACTGAGGGCTGCGGGGACGGTCTGTTGGGGACAGGTGGGTCTGTTGGGGACAAGAGGGTCTGTTGGGGACAGGTGGGTCTGTTGGGGACAGGCCAGTCTGTTGGGGACACATGGGTCTGTTGGGGACAAGCGGGTCTGTTGGGGACAGGCAGATCTGTTGGGGACAGGGGACAGGCCAGTCTGTTGGGGACTGGGGGCCTGTACCCCAGCTCACCCCCGTGCGAGGGCCGGGGCCTGGCAGCGTGCTGGATCTCCCGGGCTGGGTACGAGGTGGTGTAGACGGATGGCGGGAGCTTTATTTTCCCCCTGTCCCCACAAGGAATGTCATCCTTCCATCTCTGGGCC